AAATAAAATAAAATAAAATAAAATAAAATAAAATAAAATAAAATAAAATAAAATAAAATAAAACCAAACCCATATTCTGTTGTTGGATGTGAATCAATTCCAAGAAATGACCTTTTCCAGAGTAAGCAAATGCAAACAGTACTTTGCTCCAATCGAAATAAGCTGTAATGATCATAAAATGCACAGTGATGGCTAAATACAGCTCTGGCTCTGGCCGGGAAGTCCCCACTCTGCATAGGGCATTTCTAGGACAACCACTGAGCTCTCCATGTGCAATGCAGAGTAGAGCACAGTGTCTGTGCTGTGTCTTGTTTCCTGATTACCGGAGATGTCCTGGTTTTTAAGAGACACACAAGGAGAGATTTAGGGGTCAGGCAGGGTGCCTGCAGCTTATATCCAAATGTTTAACAATATAGATTTGAGTTGTAAAAGCAAAATGAAAACACACACAGGGAGGAGGGAATAGACAATCTGGATAAAGGTCATCTGGATAAAGGACTTTTCTTTTTTACACTAATATTACAACTATTGTCTACGCTTAAATCACATCCAAACTAAAAATGCATAAAGGAACCCAGGAGAAATGTTAACACATTTACATTTTAAAGGACAAAAGTTCCTTATAAAGAGTTGCTTGAGTGAATGAACTGAGCTGTCTCCTCATGTTTTCCTAGCATACAACATCTACATGGAAATAAACCAAAGTCATTCATTTCTCTTTTTCTCAAGGTTCTGTGGGACTCATTTTTGTGAAGCAATATAGTTTTGCAACGAAGACAGAACTGTTATAAAAGCCAACGCTTCTTTGGTCCTCACAGAAGTCAGAGTTCTATGATGATGTTGCTATCGCCTACTGATTCTTCCAAGGTTGGAAGTCACTGCTGGTGTGTGGATGGCTTTGCCATTTCTGACCACTTCAGTGGCACTGTCCACTAAGTAAACAGGCCCATTGCATCCCAAGACACCATCTAAAAGGTGAGTCCAAGAGTGAAATTAGCTTGATCCACCATTTTCTTAAATGGGTGCCAGAAACAGAGTGAAGTGTGGAGGGATGGAGTGATTTGTCACGAGCGATCAGCAGATAACCAGAACTACCTAGCTGCTGTTTCTCTTCTTGGCATGCTTCAGACTTGTTCAAATAGGAATTCAGGTGAACCTATTATAGTATGACAAACTCAGTATGGCAAGACTTAGGTTTATCAAAATTAACCATTAACCAGTACTGGGGACTGGACCTAGGACCTTGTGCATATAAGGCAAACGATACACTCTTGAACTACATGTCCAGCCTCAAAATAACCTTTAAAAAAAAACAGACTTTTAAGGGATGGAGGGGTAGTTTAGTGGTTGCTCTTCCAGAAGACCCAGGTTCACTTTCCAGCACCCACAGGGCATCTCACAACTGTCTGTAACTCCAGTTTCAGGGGATCTGGCACAATCA